AAAATTATTATAAAAAAATTTAACTCTTCTAATTTTGAACTACCTTTTAAACCTTAGTTGAGTCTCTAAATAAAAGTGTTCTACATGCAAATCTATATCTATAGTTAAAATTTTGTAATTTTAGCAAATAATAATAAAAAAATTCACATTATTAAAAAAGTCTGTGAATTGTTAAATTTATGAGCCTAATATAAGGCTCACGAGCTTACTATAAGGCTCAAGCTGAGCTGAGCTTATATAAGTAAGGCTCGGCTTGACTTGAGCCTAACTTATAAACTCAGGCTCGAGCCAAGCCTAAGACTTTTGGGCTCAGCTCAGCCTGAGCTTTATGAGGCTCAGCTCAGCTCGGCCTATGAGGAGTTTTAACTATATATAATAATAAGAAATAAATAATAAATAATACTAAAATAATAAATATCTGATATAAAATATATAATAATACAATATATAATTAATAAAAATAAAGATAAAATTAAAGGCAACAATACTAATAAAATATGAAATTAAGTTAATAAAATATAAATTGACTAATAAATATATGATAATAAAATAATAATATAAATAAATAAAAGTTGGCCATTAGGATCAACAGCATGGCTTCAGCAGAAACTTTAATATTTTTCTCCACTTCAAGATGCTTTTTCACTCTAATCACCATAAGTGCATCATTAGAAATAATTAAATGAAGTGTCTTTCATTCATTTCTTTCAGTTAATACTCAAGAATGATCAGGTTTTGTAATATTTTCAACACTTTTGGTCTTCACTTTTTTTTACATATTTTTTTTACTAGTAACAATATAATAAATCATAGTCCCTTTATTTCAAAAGGCAATTATTTGAGCTGTTGCTTAAGTGAGAAAAAACAAATATACTTTGATTCAGATCATGTGCCACATGATGTAAATCAATGCTGAATGCATCATTTAATTATTTAAAATATATTTAATTATTAAATTAAAAAAAAAAACTTATAAATATAACTATTGAAATATTTGACTTTAAAATTTATTTTTTGAATGGTGCATTATTTTTGTGAACTACTGTATGTCCAAAAGTATGTCTAAATCTATGTCTGTACTATAGACTTACATTTGATTACAAGAATTTAAGATTATAGATATTTTAAGTAATAAACATTAATTCATATTATATATTTGAAATTGATCTACTAATAACTATAAGACTAACAGTTACTAAGACAAATAATAAAGAAATAAGATATATAATAGTTTAAATAATGAATAGTAATATATAAAATAATAAAAATATAATAAAATACTAAATAGTTAAGAGTAAAATAAGATAAGAAAATAGATAAGAAAGCAAGATAACACTGGTAATTACTAAAATCACAATTTGTAATTTCAGTAATCAAGAGAAAGAGTTCTAACAATATATTCCTTGATCTTTAATAAAAAATAACTGTGAATATACTAATATTAACATATATAATAAATAGTTTGAAGATTTTTTTGTGAAATTACTTCTTTTTGAAAAAAAAAATTTTCCTTTTTTTTTGTATTTGGCTGATTTAAAAAAAAAGTAAATAACTGAAAAAAGCTTTATTTCATTTTTTTTATTATTAGTTAAAAAATAAAAATGATTGAAAAAAAAAATTAAATAATTGAAAAAAACTGTTATTTATTTTTTAATTTTAATACTAATTGAATAAGATAATTTTGTGAATTTTATTTATATAAAAAAACACAATATGATTATTGAGTGTTTTGCAGATTTTATTTTTATGGTATGGATTTACACATGATTTTTTTTAGTACATTGTGACTATCAAAGATTTTAGCAAAGGTGCATTGAGAGTGATGCAGCCTTTACTTATTATAATATGGACTCCCATATGTTTATTAATTTTTAAGAAGATAAAAAATTTTTATTTTAGCTTTGTTTGTAAGCTTTCAATTACTAATTAATTTTTGTAATAATGATTTATTATTTATTATTTAAATATAATATGATATAAATTTTACTTTTTTTTATGTGAATTTTTTAATTTAAGTTGATAATGTTTTATTGTAAAAAATAATTATAATTCTGAACATTTTTTTAGTTCAGAGGCTTGACAATTGATTAATTTTAGTTTTTATTGATAAAAAAATTTTTATTATTGAGTTAATTTTATTTTAGTTATATATTTTATATTTAGTTGGAGGCTTGACAAAAGTGATAAATTTATTTTATTTTTTTGGGGAAACTGTTCATGTAACTTTTAAATATGATACAAAATGTAAATTTTAATTTAAAATTTTGATTTTTGAATTTTTAATATTTTTTGAATTTGAATTTGAATTTTTTTAATAATTTGAATTTTATTATGATTGAATATTATTTTTTAAAATTTGATTTTGACAAATGTGTTATCCAACATTAATAGTAAAAGTGCTGTTTCAGAACTTTTAGATATATAATCTTTACTATTTCATGATTTCACAAATGTGAATTTTTTTTTAAAAAAAATCCAATGAATTTATAGTTTTTTAAACATATGATTAATATTTATTGCATAATATTTTGATGATTTATTTGTTAGTTCCCTTTACATACTAACATTAATAATATTAAATTTATAATATGGAATTAATAACAATATGATTGCTTATATTAATCCATCACATAATAAATCAAGCAATATTGAATTACAAAAAATGATGTAAATATTAAACAATAATACCATTCTTTAATAGAACATAAAAATAATTATTGTACAAATGACAAATTAACTTTTTATGTAGTAAGAAATGAACTAACTAAAACAATGAGACTATTAATTCTTGATTATGTAATTAGAAAAAAAAACATTTTGTAGATGACAAATCAATTTTTTATGTAAATTTTCTCTTAGAAAAATTGAAATAAGAATTCAATTTTTTTTAAAAAAAAAAATATATCAACTTTTCTTGATAACATGTTCACAACTTTTGAAGTTATAGCATATATAAGCTCATAAAAAGGATCATTTACATCCAGTTCATTATCTGGAATTGCTATATATAAAACATCTGATAATAAAACAGTGGAATTTACTTATCAGTTGTTTCCTGACAAGACAAAAAGAATGTGAAGAATTTAATATGGGCGACATGGTGCTTTTGTCTGGAAAGTTTTGTTATGATACTATTGAAGGAGATACTTCTGGAATTGTGGTATGTGAAAATGAAAACTTTTACATGTAAAATTCTTCTATATTTGTAAATACAAATATTTAAATTAAATTATTAATTACATATTATTATTAGTTAACTGTAAACAAAGCAATAAAATATCCAAATAGAAATTCAGGTTCATGGGCAGTTATTAATTATCCTAAAACAAGACCATCAGTTTCTATTACAGCAGTCTGTGAGAGTATGATTATTAATGGAATTCCACAAGTCAAATCTTCTGTCACTGATAAATTTGGAGGAAATGAAATGAAATATGTCAGCATGAGAACTTCCTTGTATTGTTGCCTGTCAAGAACATCAGATGTTCCACATTATTTCTTGGTTGCATATGCTCATAAATTATTAAGAATGGGTCAATTTAAAATTTCATGTAAATCACCAACATATGATTTCTGGAATTTTAAATGGTTTTTTAGAAGAAAATTCAATTACAAGATTAGTAATTTGTGCAACTGAAATAGATTATGAATCAAATTCAAATTTTACATTCACAAGTATTACGAGTCAACAAAACCATTAATTGAAACTCTTGATCTTACAGATCTTTTGAAATCTCAAAGAAATCAAGAAATCTTATCTATAACACTTCAATCTTCCCATGTTGACTAAAATAAAAAAATTCTATCAGTGAAGAAAATATGCAAACAAAATCTCAAGTAATTTTTCATGCACCTTATCAACATTTTTCTTCACAAAAAAATATTATGCATCATTTTCACAACAAATTCCACAAGTTCTACTCCTCCTCCTCAAGAAAATACATTCAATAATCTATTTTCTTCTCTTCCTGAAAATTTATCTGACAATCATTCATTGCCTCAACCTTCTCATGAAACAAAAACAAAAATAAAATCTACAAGAAAAGGAAAAGCACCTGTTGAAAATCCTGAAAATAAAAAAAAAAGCCAGTAAGAAAGTCACCTAGAAAGAAAAACTATTGGAGATTTGGCAATTATGGAATTAGAAAGTAATGCTAACAATATTAATGATCATTCATTTGTAAAACATATGAGTGAAATTGAAAATATTAATGAAGAATTGAGTGAATAATGAAATTAAAAAAAATTTAAAAATAGTATTATGAAATAAATATTGTTATTAGTTATACAATATTTGAATTTTTCATTAAACAAGTATTTACTGTATAAACTCTTTAATTTTTTTTTGAATTTTAATAAATTTGTTATTTTTAAAACAATAATTTGTCAACAGTGATTATAAAAAATATTGCATTATGTTTCACTTTTTTTTTAAATTACTAATAATTTAAATATAAATTACTAATCAGATTAATAATAATATCGTGATTTCGTCCCGGAAATATTTTAAAATACAGTTTGGAGTCTAAATCTATACGTATAACAGAATTTGAATTGAGTAAATAATCCCCGAAAGAAGACTATTTCTGAAGTATTAATTTATATAGTTCCTGAAGTATTAGGGGGGAGAATACACAAAGACTGCTAATGTTCATTCATTTTCATTTGTTGCTTATTGTTATGAAATAATTACCAGAATTCTCTCATATCACGATGAATCTCACGATAAAGATTTTGCTTTTAAAATATGTATGTAATGGATTTCGACAAAAAATTCCATTTCACACTCCAAATTAATTACACAAATAATTATGAGGTGTTGGGATGCTCGAATTACAAATCGACCCACTTTTGAAGATTATTGGGAAAACAATTGTGAAAATAAAAACGAAATTACAATTCAAATTAAAGAACCTGAAGAATTTTCTATAAATCAAACGACAACCGATACATCAACAACTCAACTCCAGCGAATTATAAAATACACCCGCAAACAATTTATACTAGTAGACTTCTCAATTTTCAAATCTTCAAAACCCAAAAATAGTGAGGATTCCGAAAAAAAACCAAAGAATTGACAGCATCTTTTAATCAAATAAATGCTAGTGAGTATCAATTATATTTTCATTTCATTTATTCTAATATATTTTTATTTATTTATTAATAGAATGCTGTCTCGAAGATTGCTTCCACGCAGTTGAATGAAGAGACGAATTACAGTATTGAAGATTTAATTGTGACCTAATATATAAATTGGGCAGACACAATAGTGGGCTTGGAAAAGACTCTCAAAGAGTATATTAATTCATTTCATAATTAAACATTTTTTTATACGTTAACATATATACAGTATATACAATATCTCTCTCTTATATTCTTATTTCTCTCTTTTATTCCTTTATATAATATAGCCTTCTGTCAACAATGATTTCCTTCTTGGATTTACCAAGCTCGTATCATAGTTGAAAGACAAGATGTAAGAATATCAATACAGACTTTCAATGTCAAATGTGGATCTGGAATATCTTTACGGAAAAGCCTATCAATTTAAAAAAAAAAGCGTCCATCGGTATGGTTTAAATTCAGATGGATAGATAGATATATATTATTTATATTATTTATCATACTATAAACTTGATTATTTAGACCTTTAATTATTTAATTTATATTTTAATAGAATTGTGGATTGATTACATACAATATATTAAGGTGAAAATCGAGCGGTCATTTTGTACAAACATGCCTTGGAGTTGTATCGGATTCAGAAGAATATTATCACCGCACCTGATCATCATAATCCCGGAGAAAAATACATTCTAGATAACGGAATAAGATTTTTTATAAATGGGAATTTCCTTAGATTTTGGAGATAATATTTATGTATTCTATTCCTAAATTATATTTACTAGTTAAACAGGTCATCAAAATTAAATTTCACGTTAAAATTTCACTAAGTTAATAATTTTTTTCCTCATAAAAACAAAAAAAAAATGAAGTTATCTTCTTATTGACAGTATCATCATTCCAATCTTTCCCAACACCAATATTACACTTTGCTTTATAAAGCGAGTTGTTGCTAGAAATGATCCATCTACCAGCTACACTTTCACTTTCATCAACTTCGGTATTAGCATTTTTTGTTATTATTATTTCTAAAACTATACATTATTACTTCTAACAATATCTCTTGGTCACTTGAAATTGTCCTGGCTAGATTTTGATACGTGATATTTTAAATAATTTCAGAGTATTAACTAATAAAATTTGTATTAATAATATTTCTGTTACTCTGTTTTTAGGTAATGCACTTGAATAGATCGGCGATCTGATCTCCGAGATTTTTATTATTAGTGTAAGAATGCAACGTTTTCCTATTTGGAAGAAGATTTAGATTTGTTATAAACTTGTTTATCGGTCGAAATTAAATTAATTTTAATAAATTATTACTCTATAAAAATTAAATGACTCGAAAAATTTACAATTGTATATTTTCTTTTTTGATTAAACTACATATCAAAATTTTTTTATTATAGCAAAATTACCACTTATATCACATGTCTATCTGATATTATCGTAATATAAGAATGCATACATACATGTATGTGTATGAATTCAAATTTAAATTATTCAAGATTTAAATAAAGATAAGACATATTTTATAATATCCAAAAAATTAATAAATAGTGCTTAAAAATTAATAAGCAAAATACAAATAATAAATTTGAACGTTAAATAAAATTTATAAAAAATTATCATCATCATTACCTAATTAAAAATTAAAAAAAATAAATAAAAATAAATTAATTATAAATAAATATATATAATTGATACTTACTATCATTTATTCGATAAAAAGATCTCAAAATTTTCATCTTTTTAGGTTTTTGGAATATCCGTAAAATTAAGACTACTGGTATAAACTTTCTTGTGAATGTGCTTTGTAATTCATCGGAGTTGAGTTGTTAAATAATTTGTTTGATTTTTGGAAAGTCATTAATTTTGACTTGTGATTGTCAAATATAGCAACAATTGCTGAGCGATCTGCATTATCAATTTTTTTTTTTTATAATTTTTTTTAACCAACGGAGCCTCACTTATTATAATAAAAATAAATATACAATTTATAAGACAATTAATTACACAAATGAGTTAGCTAAAATTAAAATAATTTACGGCTCGGTCTTGTCGTTGCCCAATAAATCGGGAAACTGATTAGCAAAGGCCCCGTCAGTTGTTTCTATAATATCGTGAAACCCCTCTTATTCTAACTCCCTTCAAAATCTTTAATGTAAACTTCTGAGCAAGCAAACGATCTGCATTTACAAATATATACTGGTTATAATAAATTATCGCATCTTACTTTTCAGGCGTTATGCAAATGTTTTACACAGACTAATCCTCTTCAAGACAATACTAACCTGTAAACAAACAACTCTTATGGACGAGTCTAGTCCAAACTTGGACCGCCCAAATGTCACCAGATTTCTCATGGAATAAATACGAATACACCCAAATAAGCAATACGACCCCAAAATTGTCCACCAACTTCCTAAAAGATTAATAAACTTTAACACAAAAATGAATCCCAAGAAGTATTAGATAAACGAACAAAAATCTGAAAAAAATTATAGATAATTTCAAATTATGATATAATAGTCAATTTGTTGTATATATAAAAATTCACAAAGTTATCAAAGTAAAATCATAAACGCTCAATTTTTTTCGTAAGCAACCATCTTTATTCCGTTATCACAATACTAAGCATTAAATAATAAATATTTCAACTTAAACAAATAAAAAAAATTCAAATATTTTGGAAAATTCGCAAAATTTACAAATCAATAATTCTATATATCTCAAACGAAGTAATTTATTCAAAAAAAAATCGTTAAGGAATAAACCAGTCATTGTGTTTTTTTTTTCTTTTAGGATACCACACAACAAACCCTTTAATACTATAGTTCAATAATTCCAAAAATTTAAAAATAGTCAACGCTCTATTACAGGTTGGAAATAAAAAGAATTTATTAGCTTTTTTTTTGAATTCACACAATATAAATATGCAGTCTTTCGGAGACATTTTGTTTTAAAGCTTTATTAAAATCAGAAACGATAAACTTTCAGACATGTTATTTAAATTAAAAAAAAATATAATAATATTTTATTAAAATTATCCAATAAATAAAGTTGATCTGAGCGAGCAAGGCTCCATCTCGTTTAACTTTTGGTTCAGACAAAAGATTTATTTTAGTGGAAAAAAAAAACGGCTAATTTATAAAAGTAATTAAATTAAACTACTTTCATGATTTGTAAAAATCAAAGTCCTTTTTAATTTTATTTAAAAGGATTTGTGTGTGAAGAGAGTAACGAGGAACTAAAGTTTTTAAAAGTTTAAATGTTTATAGGAACCTTCAACAATATGCTACTAAAAGTAAAAATTCATTTAAATTTTCTCTTTAATTACCCAAGAACTCTACAATTATTAATCATGAAAATATATACGTAAAGATTACAATTAACTAAGAACCGATGGCGAAACAAATTATAAATTCCCTAAAAACAACTGAAGAAATAAAAAATCGTCAATTATTTATTTTCCCCTTTGCAGTTAGACGATAAGTATTATTTAAGATTTCTGAAATTGACTTTACTGAAACTTTCTTTCTTGTTTTTTGATACAAAATAAGTTCTTAAAAATAATAAAAAAGAAAAATCAATACGTAGTTGGATATAATACGTAGTTGGATATCAATTCTCTTATTCCATTCTTTCTTTTAGTCGATAAAATTGTATATTTAGCATACGTTTGACCAGAATACTCGAATATTCTATTTTGATCCGGGAGTGGTAACGAAAAAAATTTAAACAAAGATAAAATCACTTTCCCAAATTCACTACTCCACCACCATTAGACGTTTCAAATCAAGATTCTCATTTATTATTTATGTTAATAGATAAAGTCACAATGTTATACGATAGTCATGCGGGTACGTACCGCATGCTACAGAATGATTTGTAACTTCTAAAGACGAAGCTAATGGTCTATTGATCTTACTGAGATTGCAAAAAAAAAAAAATGAATATTCAATAAATAATTGATAAATAATTGATCAAATTTGATAATACAGAGATTTTTATTCACTAAGCTCAATTAGAACTGTTTAATTAAGTTAAATTAAATTATTTTTTTGAATTCACCATGAAAATGTTCATTTGACTTAAATTTTAACTATATCTAATTTAGTATCGCTTGTGTAAAGGAAAGCGCCACACGGCCTCTTTCAAGTTATTTATTTAAAAAATGCTTAATGCTTTAATTATGAAAAAGA